GGGGGTAACTGTGGATTCATGTTCTATACACATAACTAAGTAGTGTATTATTTGCTCCAGGATTTTGGTGGTGAGGATGGGGGCAATGGGAGTGAGACAGTTCCCATGCCCTGAGGAAGACAGAGAAGAGAGACTAAGCAAATTTTAGTTCTGGTAGCTTTTCACATCTTCCAGGTTCATGCCATAATTTCAGGCCTAATTGTTTGGTTGTTATCTTCTTTTTATAAAAATATTTATTTTTATTTATTTATGCACACAAGAATTGGGGTGTAGGCCTGAGGTGTGTATGCGTGTGTGAGAGAGGATTCACCAGAGACAGAGTGGGGTGCAGAACAGACAGACTGAAATACACTGCTGAGGGGAGCAACGGGCGAGACAGGAGAGGTCTGCTGAGCCATGTGGGTAGTTCCCTGGCTGGGGATAGAACTCAGGTCACAGCAGTGATAGTGCTGAGACTGAACCCCTACACCTGCCCCAGGAAGGCCCTGGTTGGTATCTTCTAAGACTATGTTCCTTCAGTTGTTCTTCAGCTCTGTTCCCCAGGGGTTATCTGGGTCTTCACAAAGGCACACTTTTCAACCCCCCTTTTAGCAGTTAAAGTACTTGAAGTAAAGATAAATCATGGTATAGAAAACATTAAAACTTTTTTCCTATGTTATATAGGAAATGCACATATTAAAAATATTTTAAAGGCCACTACCATAGGTATTGGTAGGATTTAGTTTCATGCTGATATTACTATTTCCCCATTTGCATAGATGCTTAATTGCATTTTAAATAGTCTAGTTCTTTTTTTCAGCCTTTATTTTCCCTTTCATTTTAATAGAATTAAACACTTGATTTTTTACTTTTTTTTCTTTCAAAGACAGAGGAAGAGATACTAAAGTAAAATTTCCTGCATAAATTTGGGTGGGTGGGGGAAATACTTATTCTCTAAATTATGTATCATCCCTCATTATTGCCAATTCTGCACATAACTTTAGTTTCAAGTTGGGAATTTAAATACAAAAAAGACAGAGTCCCTTATTTTAAGAAATATCAAGTGTGAGGAGGGAGACATATAAAGGTGGTTTTATCCAGTGTGTAAAGGGTTATAATGGAAATATGAATACATATTCCTGGAGTACACATTGTGAACCAACATTCATAAACAATTAATGAAATAAATGGATGTATTTGTTTTTTTCTCTTTAGAACATTTCCTAAAGTCTATGTTTCCAAGGCTGTACTTTTTTTTTTTAACCTACTATTGTTGGGTAGTGTGGCATAGTATAATAGATCTCTGTATTATCATCAGCCATGCTGACAACAAAATAATGTATCATTTCTGTGCATAGAGATGGATACTTGAGATTACAATGTACACTTGGAAGATAAAACTTGGAAGATAAATATGACTTAAAAAATTAACTCAATATCAGTAATGATGCATCATCAGACACAGGATTAATAGTTTGAGGGTCCTGAGTTTGAATTTTGATTCTGCCATTTACTGGCTATGTGTTGGTGCTGATTACTTAAATTCTTGGGTGATAAAATCTTTTGATTTTTAAAAAATAAGCATTAAATACCCATATAATAGCATGGTACTAGTTATTAATAAAAAGATGTATAAAACAACAATATGCTGTTTATATGGCATCCAGTAAATGTTTTTTATTATATTATTATTATATTAGTATTTATTGCTACAAATAATTGCACCATATACTTCTTCCTTCTAAAATTTTCTGTTAGGAGATCACAAGGATCATCATTGCTCAATTAGAGTTTTGAAAATTATAAACTCAGTATGTACAAGTATACAATAATAGAATCATGATTTTTTTACAGTGAAACTGACCTACCACCTACTGAGAACTAGATTAAGCCCATCATGCAGATGTTTGGAGAACCTAGACCTATAATCCTGTTCTCTGCCTTGTACATCAGAGAATAATTGTCCTTCCAATTCACCTCACCCCACTCTTCCTGTAGTTTCTGTCTGCATTATAAATATCGCTCCTCTCATGAACATTTCCGATTCATGCTCCTTTGACAGTGAAGCTGAGCTGTTCTATCACTGATGAAGTGTGAATGAGACGCTGTTATTAATACAAACAGAGGCACCCTCTGGGTATTATGCATTTATCAGATCAAGCATCAAAATATGAAACTACAAAAACAACTAATAAAAACAAAATGAATATTGTTAGCTAAATTAATGCTGTCATCTTCCCCAAGTGTGTCTTCAAAATGAAATGGTCCAACGGCAAAAATAGAACAAGCTAAGAACACTTAGTTCCACAGTGTAGAGGCTTTGAAACAGACTTACTTCTAATGTGTTAAATTGCTCGTGTCAGTGGTAAATGATTACTAGCATGTGAGGACCCCAGAAAAAGCCAGTGTTCCCCTTCACTGTGATTCTACTAGAATTACAGCTTAAAACAACAGTAGCCACGACAACAAAATGAATCTGTGTTTTGGAACCTGATCCAGAGATGTATTCTCTACTCCCTGCTTACCTAACTGCTAGAGAGCTTTAAAGCACCGCCACTGTCCTTGTTCAGTGACAAAATATTTATTTTAGCTGCTCTCACAACCGTATCAGATGGAACAGGAATATGAATCAAGAATGTACAATGTGCTTGCTTATTATTTGACACTAAGTAATGCTCTTGAGAGTAGTAAAATTAGTGTGTGTAGCTGTTAAACTCATTTTCTCCTTTTTAACTCAGTACCATCTTTAGAGTGGTTAGTGTTTATGAAAAGATCTACCTTAGAGTTTCTTTTCCGGGAACATAGCTGTGGGTTGAGGCACTGCTTGGTCTCCTTGAGGATTGCTTTAGTTTGAGTACTGATGGTTCAAGGTCGTTTTGTCATTAAAAAAATGGGTGGGAAAGAGCTGTCGATGAGTCCTTTCTGTTCTCTACTGTCCTATCTTCTCAATGAAGATGGATTCTGCTAGTGGAAATCTGGATCTATGAGTGCACTTTTAGCAAAGTTTGAGCACTTCTCATAAATGCTATCCACAATCTACATTTTAAGAATTCTGGTCAACAAGATCAACCCAGATGTCAAAAAATGCACACTGAGTCTGACATGCTCACTAAGATATTCTGGTGCTCAAGCCACCATGATATTTTGCTTGAGATTTAGGACTGAAGAGCATAGAGTCTCTAAAAGGGAAGCTTTGTCTGAAAAACTATTCCTAAAACAATACAGTGTCATTTCCCACACACTGTTTAACTCTTTTGTTGCATTTCAACAAAATTTGGAGAATTTGGAGATAAATAAGATAGGAATTTTGAGGGCCAGGGTCAGGGATAGATGATGTAGAAACCTCTGGCTACATCTGGATTTGGGCCACTACATAGAATGACAAAGCCATTAAAGTTTGAGGCAGAGTACGGTATGACAACTTTCAAAAGTATAAGTTTGGCTATATTGTATGGTAAGAATCAACCATAAGGGATAAGGACTAAATGGGAGACCTCATACAATTGTTGTTATATAATCCAGACGAAAGATAACAGAAACTTAAATTAGTTTGACAGTAGTACATGTAGTGAGAGATTTTCAGGTTCTGCAACGATTTGGAAGGTAGAATGAATAGGATTTTCTGGTGGATTGAATGTTAAGTGTGAGAGAAAGAGGATTCAAAGTAAAGCCCCTGGTTTGTAGCAAATCATTTGGAAGAATGGAGTTGCTATTAGCTGAGTTGGAGAAGGTGGGCAGAGTTAAGTTTGATGGGTGAAGAGCAGACATAAGCTTTGGTCATGTGGCGTTTGTGATATCTAACATATGTCCAGGCAGAGATGTGAGGTGGGCAATTGCAGATAGTTCTGAACTTCAAGGGAGAAGACTGGATTGGACATATAAATGCACCATTTGACAGCATAGAGGAGGTATTTAAAGTCACAGGACTAAAAGATATTACCAAAGAAGTATTGCATGCATCCAGTATTTATATAGAAATTATGTAGCTTTGAGATGAGACCCAGAAGACAGAGTTGAAGTCACTATCTCTAATTACCAACTGACCTTAGGTCAAAGAATATGGAGATAGTAGAAAAGAAAGATGATGAACTGGAGTGTAACGTAAAATAACTTTTGTTGACATGACTAGATGATGTAACTTATAGAGTCTATTTAACATCTGGACCAAATGAAGACTGTTCACAAAACATTTTTTTTGGGGGGGCCTGCCCCTGGTGGCGCAGGCAGTTGAAAACTGCACAGTGAAGTTGTCCGTGGCCTCTGCAGCACTGGTTCCATTCCGGCCAGCTGGCGAGGATCCCACATGGCGAAGCAGACCTCTCCTGTCTCGCCAGCTGCTCCCCTCAGCAGTGTATTTCATCAGTCTGCCTGTTCTGTCCCCTGCTCTATCTCTAGTGAATCCTCTCACTCTCCCGCACATCTGGCCTGTACCCTGGTTCTAGTATAAATAAATTAATAAATAAACCTTAAAAAACCATTGTTTTTAATAATTCCTATTAACAGGTATATTAAGGCATGAGCAGAAAATGCTTCAGTTCTCAGTGTTTATTATTTTAGTAAAGAAACTGGCTAGCCCCTCTTACTACCAGTATTGCAAATTAGAGATTACTACACAGAGAAGAATAAACAAAGTATGTGATTCTCAAATATGAAATTACAGGGAAGCAAAACAAAGGGACAGTTGTGACTAAAACAAGCAAACCCTAGAAGCCTGACTGTAGAATTGAGACTCCCAGAGGTTGAGGACCCAACCGACTAGGGTGCAGGATTATTAGAGCTTTGGTGGCGGGTGTGGTGTAGAAATATGCAAAGGAAGCAATGTGACCCTGTACCCCTCAGACATCTACAGTGCTTTAAAGTGTTACTTCAAAAAAGAATAACATGATTTTAAAAAAGAAAAGTATGTTTCTGGTTTTGTCTTTAAAATTTGCATAATCACACAATTGTGAGGACTTTGACCTTCTTTGTGACTATGAGCTAATCTTGGAATCTTTCTTTTTCCACTCAAAATTTTTTCACAGTACATCTAAGACTCTGCTATCATAACTGTACTAGAAAATTTGGTCTTAGAAGAAGCTGCTGACCTATCTCTTCAAAGGAAGCAAAGTCCTTTATCAACTACATGGAATCCTGAGTTGACTTGTATCTGTCATCAATAAAGAGAGGGGTAACAGGCATGAGAAACACTTTTTCTGCCCACGGTGTGTTTTGACAAGGTGATTGTGTTATTATTCCAGAAGGCAGTTGACACACTGTCTTGGTAACAAGAAACTTTTCAAGGAGTAATTGGTCTGAGAATTTGGTATAAACTATACTCAGGAGCCTAAAACTAATTCTAGTAATAATGAGAAAAAGGTCTGGCAGCATATCCTCTGCTAGCTGACTTGGAATAAATGTTAGAAGGCAACAGCTGTGCTTGAGAGAGGCTGTGCAGAGACTTTTGACTCAATTGACACCTGAAGCCTATTAAAATAGGCTTCCGTCTGTGTACCCCCTAAAATCACCTCACAGAGTGGTTGATGCAGGTATAAAGTGTTGGTCTGGCCACACCCTCAGCACCCACCAGCTCCTCTGCAGGAGAGCTCTGGATTGTCAGTTTCAGTTACTTAGCCTCTCTGGTTATATCTCAACCATAAACGCCTTAGCTATAATGAGGAAGTAGGGCCAGATAAATTCTCAAATTCTTTCATCAGGAAAAGCTTCAGGTTTCTGTTTAGTTCAATCATCATTGAAAATAAACTTCAGCAAACCCAGCAGGCACCTGCACCTGTGTGACTACCACTCCACACCTTCTCTCCAACCTTCCCTCCCCGGAAAGATGTCCCAGTTAGTACTTTCCTTTTTATCTTTCACATACAGTATTGCAGCTTCTTCAGTGACACCTCTCTGGCTGTACTTGGAAAGGAGAGGTGACACTGGAGCTAACACTGTGACTCGGGTTGGGTAAATCACCAGGCGGAGCGGCTCGCAGCCTCCATGAATAGATGGCAGAGTTGGCACATGAAAATAGCTGGGAAGACGGAGAAACCCCAGAGGTTGTGAAGTCTCTGCTTCCCTCCCCCACCTTTATTTTCCTTTTTATTGTTGTTTTTCTTTCGTTCTCATACACTTATCTTCATGTTCCATGTAGTCACATCTCTTAGCAGTTATGAACTATAATTTTTTTGAGTCTGCAAGCAGAAACCTTCCAGGTGAACCAAAACATCTGGAAGGTGGTCCATCTTCACCCAATACTTATTAGCCCAGTGAAACCATCAACAAGATCCTTGGAGCAAGTCTGACCAAAGGAAAGGGGCTAAGGATGGGTGACCCAGTTAGTCTGGACCCACACAGCGCACCTCTCCTTGTGAGCTCCAGCCAGGCTGAGGGAGAGCAGAGAAACTGGAAAACCAAGATCTGCTTTCTCCATTGAAAGCTACATGGCTAGGAAGTTTTGTTGTTGGAATGTGTCACGTGTTCCCATCGTCCTGTTTTTATACTTATCAAATAAGAAGGGAAAACTAGAACTCAGTCATGTTGGAGAACAGATAAAATGGGGTTGTTACTGAAATGATGGATTCAATGCCCTGGGGGCCCACTGTTAATACATGTTGGAGGGCTGTGTTTTCCAGGCCTATTGCAAGCTTGTCTCCGCAAGTTGGGTCTGGGTAACCAAGTGTTCCAATCACGGGGTATCTGGGGTCATTAGGTGTAAACAAGCCAGCCTGTCACCCTCAGACACACTCCACAGCTGCCCCTTTGGACAGCCCGTGTTCACTCATCTCCTTGGTTGCTGCAACTTGCTGCATGTAGGTTTTTCAGCGACTGTAAATGATTTCATTTTTCAGTATTCATAAATATATAGATTTTCTATAAGGGGAAATAGTCACCTTAAAATCCCGTCCTTTCTGGTTAAATCCTGGCTACTGTTTATCAAATATATTTCACTCAAATTTATGTTTTCTCTGTACCCAAAATATATCCCCCTCTACATTGTTCTACTTCAAGAGATTTAAAAAGGAGGAAATTATTTCCTACTTAATGTTTCTACATAATTTATTTGTTGCTTTAAACAAATATTTAAAAACATATAAAACAGTGCCTGAACTATAGCAGAGGCATAAGCATTCCTTACCTGAGGGTCTGACATATCAGTTGGAGACTCGTGCCATTAGCTGATTGTTCTGAATTTTGCAACTGTTCTTGTCTACATTTATTTGTAGGCACAATAACCTACAAACATATTAATAAGACTGATTATTCAGAAGGTAATTGCTTACAATGAGGATGCCATTATTTATAATTTCCTGGTGTGTATGTGTGTCTATATGTGTATGTGTGTGACTGTGTTTTAGAAGACTGAACTGTATAGCAGACATTCCAACCACAGTCACAAGAACAGGAATTTAGGTGAGAATTTTCTAGCCATTATATATTGGTGAATAATAAATTCATTTCAGGAGCGCAGATGATGAAAAATGTATGTTCCTTTTATGAGAGTCATTAATTATGAGTAATGGAATTAAGTGAGAAAAACAATAACCTGTAATTAATGAGAAAAATGGATTTCAGTCAGCAAGGACACCAAAATAGAAATTTTTCCTTCTAAGCTTTGAATTTGTTGTAGGAAACCAAGAAATTAGTTTGCATAGTTTTTCTTCATTACGTCATTGGAATAATTGGGGAAGTCTCTTGTGTATTTTACTATCCCAAGGGAAAGAGGTTAATCAGATTATATAGAGTTATAATCAGATGTTAAGTACATTTCTTCAAATTTTAAAGAAAAGGAAATAACTATCATCCTAAACAAACTTAACTTTTCATTTCTTGGGAAATCTCAGGTGAATTCTGAGACAAAACAACCTCTGAATTTGGTAACTTGGAATATTTGCTCATATAGATTTGTGTTATAAGCATTTCCCTTGAACTAAAACAACACATTTGTTTTCACATTTTTTCATGAATTTTAGCACTAACTACTAATTCTGGATACACTTGCTTTGTGTGCTGTAAAAATGTGCAAAGTGCAACATTAGGGGAAATAGGGGCAGTCCTGACTTTTCTATGTACATAGAAATTACTTGAAGAGGAAATATTGAAACATCAGAGGGATCTTTATTTCTCAGGTCTCAGTTGAGGAAGTAAACTGTTTTCATTGAGTAGAGGCAATCCAACATGCTTTCACCCTATAAATGTGAAATAGAATTGATTACTTTCCTGAAATGGTGGTATTATTATTGGTATTATTACTATATTAAATTGGTAAAATACAGAATATGCAATTGTGATTACTACTCTTCTAAAATCTGTTCTGGGCCTCCCCTGGTGGTGCAGCGGTTGAGCACTGGGCTGCGAAGCTGCCTGCGGCCTCTGCAGCGCTGGTTGGATCCCCGGCCGCAGGGAGAGGGTCCCACATGGCGCACAGACCTCTCGTGCCGTGCCCCTGCTCCTCTCAGCAGTGTACTTCGTCAGTCTGCCTGTTCTGCTCCCTGCTCTGGCTCTGGTGAATTCTCTCACCCTCCCGTGCTTCTGACTGTACCCAGTCCTTGTATAAATAAATAAAATAAAATCTTTAAAAAAATAAAATCTGTGCTTTTGGAGAAAGATGATTATCAAGGTGAGTTCAATAATTTCCTACCTGTGATCCCAAATTGCAAGGACAATAAGTTTATTGGATTCAGCGATATTATAGGAGAAAGACCTAGTGGCTGTAGTAATCCTGCCAGTGCCCTTTGAAGACTCAGATGAGAATGGCAGAAACAGTCAAATGAGAGGCTGGCACAATTAAAATTGATGACGACATTGCATATTATACTGAAGCTCATGCATTATACTCAATGAAGGTAGCCATGCACTACAAATAGGAAAGCCATAGTTTCTGCTAACTCCTAATTATATTTCATTTTTTCCATCTGTTTCTATTCCAGCACCCTAACTCATTCTAGGAGATAGAACGTAGGAGCCAACTTCAGAGCTTTTTAATATATAAATGTAATACAAATATGAAATAACAGATTCCACCAGCATTTATAGAAGGGTCACAAGGGCCCTGGAAATATTGTTTGTGAAGTTTCTTGTAATATGAGGAGAGAAAATATAGCTTCAGCTCCAAAATCTTAATATGGGATTTTTGGCCTTTTTAAAATGCCAAACCCTTTATTATGTGGTGATATGTTTGAAACACTTAAGAAATTCTTTACACAAGGGTAGAAACACAAACTCAAATTATATGGTGTGTGCAAGGAGACATAATTTTTCTTAATCCAAAGTAAAGAGATGAATACACAGGCACTTATAAGTTGTAAGTACTTGCTAGGGAGGGAAAGGAAGTTCTAATTTGGGGAACAATCAAGTCAGCCTTGTGAACAACACGTGTGGAGGAAAATGAGAAACTTGATATAGAATCATTGGATGAAGTTTTGACAAGAAATTGCACCAAAGCTTGGCTCCTGGAAGTCAAGGGTTCCTGTTCTTAATCGCTCCCAAACCTTTTCCTCACAAACATACAATAATTATTTTAATACATTTTCATATTTTCTTCCCACCTCTGTTCCTCTTTTTACTCTCATTCAGGGACTAAGTGCTAGCAAATCTGGTCTCATAAACCCTCTCAGTCTCCCTTTGCCTTCAAGTTCAAATGAGTTGTGTACATAGTTGCAGAATAATCTTGTATTTTCTGCCTTGAAAATCCCTTCAAGCTCTTCTGCCTGACAGCCTCACCTTTTAAGATTCAGCTCAAAAAGTCTCTCCTCTGTGCAACTGTTCCATAATTGATTCAGAGAAAGTCATCTTGCTGTAGCCTGCCATGGCTCTTTACCAACATTTCTTTCATTGCTTTTACCACAATTTGTTGAAATTCTGTTGACATTCCTGATTCTCTAGCTATATTATAAGCTCTTTGTATATAGAGAACTAGCAACCGGTTCAGTACATAACAATTAATAGTTTCTTAATAAATATTGAATATTAACAGACTCTAATTTCAGCATTCACTGACGAAAAGAATGAAGGTCTGGAAGAAGGATTGGTTGTATGGAAGTGCAAAAACTATACTGATGAGACTAATTTGCTGGCAACAAATCAGTATTTGAGAAGAGGCAGAAAGATAAAATTTTTTGATATCTGAATGC